CCTCTTTCTAATTGCTTGGTGTCCATGCCCGTCAGCCTCCCGAAATTCCTGATGCTGGGCACTGTCATTGCTTCCCTTTGGGGACCAAAAGGAGGTAAACTATATTCTGCATTTTCATTCTCCTATCTAGGCCATTTTGGCATCCACTGCTCTGACAGCTCTCCAGTCAACCCGCTGGGAATGCTACCTGTCCCTGAACATGTGTGGCCAGAGCCAGTAGGAACTCTTATAGAGGGAATGATGCCCATAGTGGCAGAGGTAACAGATTTGTAGGCAATTACCCAGTGCCCAGGTGCCCTCCAAGCTTTGGCCACTCAATGCAGGCAATGCTGCCTTGGAGTCGTCCTCACCTGGCTGACCCTGGTAATTGCCCTACAAAGAAATTTCCACAAAGGGAGTAGGTGGACAGGTAATATTGTGGCCACACAGGCCATCCTCAGATGTGGGGTCTGCTAGCATGGCCGGTACTCCTGGTTTGGAGAGAGGACATGAGAGTTGGGGGTGGGAATGGGGCAGTTTGGGTTATTTGCATCCCAAAGACGTTAGTTCCCCTTTCCATAGTCCTTGTGAGATTCCATCACTACTTAATGCAGTGATTTTGTACCTTTAACATGCTTGTCCTTTATAGGCATTAACATTACTATAAATTCACACAAATTAGAGTGAGTGTAATGGTGGCCTTGGTCTGTGCCAGGCACAATTCTAACATTATAGGAACTCACTTGAGTGCTATAATCATCTTCATCCCCAACTTACAGATGAGGAAATCGAATCTTAGAGCAAGCATTTAAAGAATATAGCAGAGAATGGATGGACCTGCAGAGCATTATGCTAAGTGAAATAAGCCAGTCAGAGAAAGACAAGTACCCTATGATTTCATGCAGATGTGGAATTTAAGGAACAAACGGAACTATCAAGCAAAATAAAGACAGACTCCTAGATAGAGAGCAGGCAAACAGCTCTGTTGGAGGTGGGGAGTGGGGGTTGCAGGGATTGAGCAAAAAAGAGAGAAAGGACTTGTAGACAAAAACAACAGGTTTTTTTTGCGGGGGGTGGAATTGGAAGAGGGGATGAATGGTGATGGGGAATCTATACATATAAAGAGGTAATATGCAAATTAGCCGGGACACCATAACACGTCATGACCGGACCATTAGCATATCATCTCTTTATTAGCTCCTATCATCAGGAGGCTGTCTGCGAGCGCCTCAGATGTTGCTCTGGAGATGGGGCGGAAGTGGGGAGGCAGGAGTGGGGAAGCAGGGAGGCAGGAGAAGGCGGGACCAGCCTGAGGCAACTCAAGGGTGGACGGCGCCACGCGAATTTGCGGGCTGGGCTCCTAGTATAAAATAAAATAAAATAAAATGAAATAAAATAAAATAAAAGTATGTGCAGAGCTGGAATATGAACCCAAGTAGCTTGAAAATGGAGCCCCACATGCTCAACTGCCCACCTTGTCCCTTGTCATCTGGCCTGAAAGATTAGCTTCAATCTGGATTCAACATGAGGCAATCAATTCCAGACTTAGTCAATTACAGAGGTATTAAATAAATGAAAAACTCAGGCAGTATTATAAAAGCAAGGAAAATGTAACTGCAGTATCTCTTAGGCCAGCAGGATTAGAAAGATGATTCACACCATGAAATGTAAGCTATGGAAATGGCATTACCCAATTATTGAGTCTACATCCCATCTAATGCCATCAGTGCATGGAAAAGTCACTGGAGGATTAGAGTGGTTCCTTCTGTCAAATCTCTGCTTAAAAAGGTGACAACTGCAACAACATAAGTCACACTTTCTCCAAATCAACAAATCATCTGGAAGTCCCTTGTAGCAAATTTGCATGAAGCAACTGGGCTTTGGTTGTCTCTCTGTGGCTGGTATGAGCAGTTCCCATTTGGGGATCTACTCTGCTGACAATCTTTGGCCTCCTTCTCTGAAACCTTCTCAGGTTTCTGCTGCACTCCACCTCCTAAGGCTTGTTCAACCCTCACACCTACCCAGATGAGCCCCTGTCCATGCAGCCCCCTCACCTTGCTCTGTGCCCTTCCCCCCAGTGACTAGTGCTAACAGAGCTGGCTGGGGAGCACTGTCTGTCATCCAACCTGCCAGCTGCTCCTTTCTGTCAGTCCGCACACCTGAGTCAAGCTCCCTCTGTGTCAGGCTCTGTGCTGGGGATGAGCGCACAGAAAGGGGGCTGATATCCTCAGCCTCAAGAAGCTCACAGGGCAGGGGCGTGGAGAATAGGAGCTGGCAGGTAAAGAGATTCTCATTAATGGCGAGCTGCACATGCCAGTGCTCCTTCCGTGGGACCATCCTGGAAGCTTTCTTGCTCAGATGTGCCAGTAACTTGCCAGGGTTTTAGCACTGCAGTCACCAGTCTGAAAAACCCCATGGTCTCAGGCCAACCAAGCTTGTTGGACCCCTACACCCAATTTTATCCCTTTTCCTGGTTCCTGATATCTTGTCTAAATTCCTGTCTATCGTCCCCCACATGCTGTGAACCCCCGAAGGCAGGGATTCATGAGATGATGTCTGTGTTCCTAGGCAAGCTCAGGGTCAGGCAGACAGGATGGAAATGAGTGGTCATGGGCAGGGAAGCATGGAGAAGTTCTGTCCTGTGAGCCTGGAGCAGGGAGATTCAGAAAGGAGCAGCCATTGTCTTCAAAGGGCTGGCTGGCATAATAGTTTGTAGACCTACCTAAGGAAGGAGGATCTGACAGACTGAACACCAGCACATGGGATGAGGAGCCACGATCTGAGGGGTAATCTGGGTTTTGTCCCCATGGCCATGTGCTTCTCACAACAAGCCTTTGTCCTATAGACTTGCTGACCATGACCTCGCTCAGAGAGCCTCTGCCCTCCTTGCCCTCCCTCTCCCCTGTCCCGTTCCCATTTACCTCCTGGTTGTGCCCGAACAGCCAGTGTGAAGGAGGGGACGGGAATTCCTGGACAGCTTTGAGCAGCCACTGCCTGAGCAGGTAGAGCTGGGCTGCCTTGAGCAGCAGCAGAACCAGAAGCAGCAGGGAGGCCACGTGCAGGAGCCCAGAGATACTGCCCAGGAGTCTTGTGGGGCTCAGCACAGAGACACTCATGGTGCAGTGCGTCTGGACCTCTGACTGTCTCTGACCACCTCAGGCCAGTCTGGAAGTTTTGCCCCACCCACCTGTGGGGAGGGTGAAGGGTGAGGGCAGAGCTTAGAGCTGAGCCACCAGAGTTGATTAACTGTGGAGGAGCTATCCTGGGACCAGGAAGAAAAGCTTTTTTAGTTGACAGTGACAATGGTTGTGTACATTTCAACTTCCACTTATCAGTTTCCTAACAAACACTTAATGAGCACCTGTTATGTGTCAGCCAGTATGCTAGGTGCCAGGACACAGCTGCGAGCAAAACAGACATGAACCCCGATTTCCAGAAATCTCAGTCTAGTTCATCAAATGTTCAGTAGGTGTGGTTACGATATTTCATTAACATTTCCAGAGTTAAAAGCTCGTTACACAGGTAAAATGGCCAACGGAAAACAGCCATTGACACCTTGAGTTGGTGTTAGAAATCTTCTCTCTTGTCTCCAAAATTGCTTGCCTACCTGCCTCTGAAGTTTTCCCCAGGGCTTGTCTCTGTCCCCTATTTAGTTGTGACCCAAGGGGAATGTGCTGTGGATAGAGTACTGACCTTAGAGTCAGGAGGTTCAGCCCCATGTCTGGCCCACCTCATATGAAGTCAGCAACTGATGCTCTCTTAGCCTCAGTTTCTCCTTTTGTAGGTGGGATAGTAATCTTTTTCCTAAGAACGGCATAGGAATGCTCATTCATTCATTTATTCATTCACTTACTCAGCAAATGTTTCTTGAGTGTGCAATCTAGTAGGTAAAGTAAAAAAAAACAACAACATTAAAATAAACTATGATAGGGCCTTTGCTGGAGGAATGAATAGTGAGCTGAGTCCATCCAGGAAAGGAGAAAACTAAGCCAAGAGAATTGGGTCTTAAAGGATGAATACAAGTTCATCAGGAAGAGAGTGCTAGATAGAGGGATGAGCACTGAGAAATCATGGAGATCTTATATAAAAGAGTAAGGGATAGGGGCAAGTTAATCTCTTACCCTCAGTGTTTTCATGATTCTCTCCCCCAATATCAAATCCAAGGCCCATCATTCAGGTAGTAAAACACAATATATTTCAGGAAAATTCCTTGGCAGGCAGCCTTCCAAGGGGCTCCATTTCCTCCCAACCTGTTCCTTCATCCATCTAAACTCTACTCCCAACAACCTCCTCCATTGCCCTACCATGTGACAAGTGATCATCACACAACCAGAGTTCTTTTCTTTCTCCCCTAAATCCTGGGCTGCTGTCCAAACCCAAGGGCCTGCGCATGTAACCTTTTACACCCATTCCTCCCAACTTTCCCCCAGTTCTTTGGTTATTTTCCATCCCTCTGGCTCCAACCCCAGGGACTCTTGGACCCTGACTCTCCCTTAATTGGCTCAGCACCAGCTTTTCACCATCAGCATGAGGGGCAGTAGTGGAGGACTTTGGAGTCAGAAAGCCTGGGTTTGAATTTTGATTTTAACTCTTTCTTTCTCTCCCTGAGAAAGTTTCTCTTATATATTTAGGCTTATAATGCTTGGTGATAGCTAACATTTAGTGAGCACATACTATGTTTTAGACACGGAGCAAAGTATTTATGTTTTCTCCCACAACAACCCTACAAAACAGACTTTAAAAATAATCCCACAACTCTAGGTGAGAAAACTACGGCACAGAGAGGTTATCTGCCTGCCCAAGGTCGCTCAGTTGGTAAGGGGTAGAGCCAGGATTCAAACCCAGGCTGTCTGGCCTCAGAGATTTGCATTAATGTAAAGAGATTTCAGTCCATACATGGCACCTCCCAAACTTCCCAGGAGGCATGTCATGTTTGCTCTGTTTTATCCTGTGTTTCCAAGTAGCGGATGAGTGTTTCAGCACCTCCACATATTGGCGTAAATGCAAGCCTTACTATCCAGGGCAGCTTTTGTGAGAAAGTGTTGGACAAACCATGTGCCCAGATGTAATAGTCATTGAAATAGTATTTATGGAGAATTTTTTTTGACACGAACAGCATTTAATCTCTGATATTTCAGAAGACACTTTAGGATGTGAAGGTCCGGTGAGGTGCTGTGTGGATGCATACAAGTACTGTGTGAGGGGAGGCAGCATGCAGCCTGGACTGGGATCAGGAGCCCAGCTCTGGCCCCGGCTTGGCTATTAAGTGGCATTGACTATGGATGGGTCATTTCCCTTCTCCAACAGGGTTGAGTTTGAGCATCTCTAAGGCCCCTCCCAGCTCTGATATTCTATGCATAACTGGCAGAGAATGTGTTGTGTTGATTTTCCGTAGGTACTGAGGAAGGTAAAAACTACTTGCAATGGCGTGGGCAAGGCCTGAGACGGTTCTACTGTAAGTACCGAAGCCTCTGGTCTCGGGTTCCCATCTCAGTGTTGGCCCAGCCTGGGGTCAGTCACGAGCAGACTGAGATAGGAGCAGAAATCACAGAATCAGGGACCACCGCACAATTTTTTAGTGAATTTATCAAGTCCACAGCCAAGGACCCTCCCCAGCGGAGGTGTGCGCTTTGGCTACTTAACCTGCCTTCTCAGACCAACAAGAGCTCTGCTGCTCTCAATCAACCGAGAGTTTTTAGTTGCAGGAACGTGTCCTATCCTTGGGACGGGGATGGTGAGAAGGTAGCAGGTGAAGAGATGACAGACCAACTCCTCTTGGCTCCTGTCCAGCAGGCCAGAACAGAGAGAGGGATCGAGTGAAGTATGAGCCCGTCTCCATCTATCGCAGGAATTCTGGAAGACCCACATTTCAGGTGACGCTGCATGTGTGGCACTGGCACATCCATGGTCTCCTTTAACTTTTTTTTAATCAGGCTTGGTCACCCCTCTCCACTCAGTTCTGGTTGGGCCGAACTCTACCCAATGTACAAAAATCTCCAACATGAGCAGAATTCTCAATGACTCCTTGTGTCTTATAAATAGTTTCAGTGATATGTACAGCCTAACACTCTCTCTCTCTCTCTCTCTCTCTCTCTCTCTCTCTCTCTCAATCATATTCAGGATGATCATCAGGTACTCATTGGCACAACCACCCTGAATCTGAGCATAGGCTTGGACTCCAATCTCTCCCTCCTCTTCACTTCGGAGAGCAGAGCACCGGAAAGAAGCCTACCCCTGCCCAGCCCCTGAGCAGTGAGGTGGACAAGGCTCCTAGGTGGAGCCCTGAGTGTCGTCTTGTATGACAGGAGGCAGGGACGAGGTTGTGCGGGCAGTGCTGGTGGCCAGGGCCTACTTTACTCCTTCCACAGTCCCAGCTTCTTCAGAGCCTCCCTTCTGTGCTCATCAGGGATGCCTTTGGGGGAAATCTTGACACTGACACAAGTGGGTTGAGGCAGCTTGTCTCGGCTCTGTCCTTGGTAAGACAGGCGCTTGGAGCTCTGCTCGTGGTCAGCCAGCATGCTCACCTGAATCCCTGCAAAGTCCTTCCCAGTGCCCAAGGAGGCGGGGCGGGGCCGGGAATTACGCAAGACATTGGGTGAGAGTTTGTTCAAGAAGGAGTCTTTTCCCAGAGAGGTGCTGGCCTTGGAGCTGGGGTCTTTCTCAGCTGAGAGGTAGCTGCTCAGCCCCACACCTGACTGCTCCAGAGTGTTGGACTTGAAGTTCATCTGCCTCAGCCCAGGGACGCTGCTCTCCTGCAGTGTCAGGGGATTACTTACCCCTGGGGCCCTAGGGATGGGGATTGGCATAGACTTGGCAGCTGGAACCTTCCCTGGAGTGGGTTCCTGGGCAGGAATGAAAACCTTGCCTGGAGTCGATCCCTGAGCTAGAGCTGGAGCCAGGGCTTTCATTGGAGAAGGCCCCCGGGTTGGAGCAGGAGCCAATGCCTTCCCTGCTGAGACCTGAGGTGCAGGCTGAGCTAGGGCAGGAGCTGATGCTGGGGCTGGGGCAGGGGCCTGAGCGCCAGTCCCCTTGAGTCTGATGGAGCTGGGGGACTTACTTAAGTGGGGGCTGGGCTTCTCTTGGTCCAGGGGTAGCCCCAGCTTCTCCAGAGCCTCCTTGCGTGCTTTCCTCTGCTCCTGCAGTGAAGAGGAGAGCAGGCCGGAATCGCTGGGGGCAGCCTCAGGGTGGCAGGACAGCCAGGGCTGGGGGTCGCTGTGGAAACGGCTTTGGCTGCTCTTGAGAACAATATTAGCGGGCAGCTTCCGGGACTTAGGCCCTGTGAGGGGAGCCACTTGGGCATTTGGATCCCGCCCTGGTGGGACGGAAGCATCTGCAGCTCTGGCGTTCTGAGACGACATGGCAGGAAGAGGCCGAAGCTGTCCTGGTGCCCCCGTAGAGCCTTTCTCATTGGCTTTTTGGGACATGGCCTCTGAAGAAGTCTCCTTTCTCTTCTGGGGGCTGAGTGACGTGAGGAGCTAAGGCGCAGGGGTCCTCTCCCCTGGCCCTGTAGGCAGGCTGTCTTCCCCACGCTGCTCGGGCTGGGCTTCCTGGAAAGCCTCTGGTGGGGGGATGAGCGCTGTGTCCAAATCAAGGACGGCCTCCTGGAGCCCGGCCGGAGCCTGGCTGGGCTCCCTGCTCTGGCTGAGCTGCTCTTCCCTGGGGTCTGGGATGACCCTGTTGGGTTCCCCTGGCAGGTGGCTACTCGTCTGGGGGGTGCTTTTCCTGAGGTTCTGGTTCCTACTGATGTGGATATTGCGGGGGAGGCTGTAGGAGCCAGATCTGAAGCCCAGGCCTTGGGGTTCAGGCAGAGGAGGGAAACTGGACTGGGTTGCTCTCCTTGGCTCTGGTCTTTGCTGAGCAACGGTGTCCTCTGGATGTCCCTGGGGAGCAGGCTGGAGTAGGGGCAGTGCTCGGGGACTTTGGGGAGTTGTGTCTTGCTCAAACTCCTCAGTGGACAGTCCGCTGTCAGCCTCAGTGTCCAATGAGCCAGTGGTCTCCTCCAGGAAGAGCAAACACTCCTTCTCTTCAGTGGACAGGAAGTCATAGCTGTCAGTAGATCCGGAGCGGGTGGAGGTGGTGCTCGTCATGCTGTCCCAGCTGCCGAGGCGGGTCACAGGTTCTGAGCCAGGCCCCTCTGGCCACAGCTCCCTCTCAGGCATTGCCAGAAGCAAGGTGCAAGGACGGCGAAAGGGGCTCCCAGAGGGGAAGCGGAGAGAATCGAAGAATGTCCCAAGCTGGGCCTTTACTGGGTGGGGGGCTGAAGAGAGGAAAAAAATACCCTTATATTTCAAAGGGTGGAGACGCGGACAGAGCCTGCTTCCCCTGCCTCCCGCTGTTTTCTTCTTTTGACCGAGAATGTTTAATGATATAGAAAAGCTTGTAACAAAGTGATCAAAGCAGAATGTACAACTGTCTGTGGAGTATGAGCTTAACTCAGAAAGTTGTGCTTGCCTTGGACAATACTTACTAACTAGTAAATATCTTTTTTCGACAACCACTTCAAAAATACAACTAAAAGACAAAATGAACATCATCTAGAACCACAGGAAGGCTGGCTGAGTGGAAATTCTACAACTAGAAGGAAAGAGAAAAGCACACTGAGACTCAGAGGAGGTGCGGAAGTAAAGTGCAGAGGTACGGAGGTGGTCGCGGAAAGGGCTGGCAACTGAGGATGCAGTTGTCTTTTTCAATCGGGAGGGAGTCTCAAGCTCCCAACTGCTCTGAACTCCAGTTCTGGGCGAGTCTCTGGGGACCCAGACTCATACAGGGAGAAACTGAACTGTCTGGCATTGGGTGGAACTCAAGGGCGGCTTTAAGGTTTTTCAAAAACTCAGAGGTGCTTGCAGCGATTACCAAGGGACACTGAGACCTGGGGCCTCTTAGGGAGGGCTGAGGATCAAACATAGCTGTTTGCTCTGCCCTGTTGATTCCCTGAGACCCTGCCACACCCAAGCTGTGAGCAGAGGCTTTTGAATATGAATGGCCTGGCCCTTTGCAATCTAAAATTACCTAACAAACTGCAGCTGGGTCAGAGAGACCCAGAACATCCAAAAGAAGGCCCAAGGCCCCACAGCAGCTTGCATTGCTTCACAGCTGGGCCTCATCTGGGCACCTCCAAACCCCAAACAAAGAAGAGGAATCTGCAAATCTCTCCATAGCTCCTGCTGGGTAACCTCAGGCAGAGGCTAAATTAGCACCTCCTTAGAAATTCAAGAGCCAGTGTACCCAGTGGTCAGAGTGGGACCATCCAGATTACAACTCCTCAGATCCATAAGGGACACACTCAGGTGGCAGACTCAGTGAGCACCAAAACTCCACTGAAGCAACTCTTGCCCCCATAAGGGTGTCTCCAACACAGAAGTTCTCCCACTGTAGACACAGCTGATTCTCACAGCCAATTGGCCTGGAGGTCAATTCCTCCCAGTGATACCTACAACAATCAAGGCTTAACTACAACAAGACTGTGCACAAAGCCCACAAAGGAGTGCACCAAGAGTGTCCACCTCAGGTAATTGAGGAGGCTGAGCCAATGGCCCTATAGGACACCTAGCACAGAAAGCTACTCTATCACACAGGGAAGCAGCCAAAATGCAGAGACAAACAGGTCACAAATGACAGAAATGGAGGAAAGCAAACTACTGGATATAGAGTTCAAAACCATGGTTATAAGGTTTTTCAAGAATTTTCTAGAAACCGCCGATAAATTTAGTGAGACCCTCAAGGATATGAAAAAGGACCAACTAGAAATTAAGCATACACTGACTGAAACAAAGAATATTATACAGAGATCCAACAGCAGACAAGAGGATCCCAAGAATCAAGTCAAAGATTTGAAATACGAAGAAGCAAAAAACACCCAGCCAGAAAAACAAAAAGAAAAAAGAATCCAAAAATATGAAGATAGTGTAAGGAGCCTCTGGGACAGCTTCAAGCGTACCAACATCCAAATTATGGGGGTGCCAGAAGAAGAGAGAGAGCAAGGTATTGAAAACCTATTTGAAGAAATAATGACAGAAAACTTCCCCTACCTGGTGAAAGAAATAGACTTACAAGTCCAGGAAGTGCAGAGAACCCCAAACAAAAGGAATCCAAAGAGGACCACACCAAGACACATCATAATTAAAATGTCAAGAGCAAAAGACAAAGAGAGAATGTTAAAAGCAGCAAGAGAAAGACAGTCAGTTACCTACAAGGGAGTACCCAAATGACTGTCAGCTGACTTCTCAACAGAAACTATGCAGGCCAGAAGGGAGTGGCAAGACATATTCTTTTTTTTTTAATTAAATCTTTATTGTTCAGATTACATTTGTTCCTCTTTTTTCCCCCCCATAACTCCCCTCCTCCCAGTTCCCGCCCCACCCTCTGCCCTCACTCCCCACCCACTGTCCTCATCCATAGGTGCACGATTTTTGTCCAGTCTCTTCCCGCATCTCCCACTCCCCTTTCCCCCCCAAGAATAGTCAGTCCATTCCCTTTCTATATCCCTGATTCATTATAATCACCAGTTCATTCTGTACATCAGATTATTTATTCACTTGATTCTTAGATTCACTTGTTGATAGATGCATGTTTGTTGTTCATAATTTGTATCTTTACCTTTTTCTTCTTCCTCTTCTTAAAGGATACCTTTCAGCATTTCGTATAATATTGGTTTAGTGGTGATGAAGTCCTTTAGCTTTTCCTCATCTGTGAAGCTCTTTATCTGACCTTCAATTCTGAATGATAGCTTTGCTGGATAAAGTAATCTTGGTTGTAGGTTCTTGCTATTCATCACTTTGAATATTTCTTGCCATTTCCTTCTGGCCTGCAAAGTTTCTGTTGAGAAATCAGCTGACAGTCGTATGGGTATTCCCTTGTAGGTAATTGAGTCTCTTTCTCTTGCTGCTTTTAAGATTCTCTCTTTGTCTTTTGCTCTTGGCATTTTAATTATGATGTGTCTTGGTGTGGTCCTCTTTGGATTCCTTTTGTTTGGGGTTCTCTGCGCTTCTTGGACCTGTAAAGTCCATTTCTTTCACCAGGTGGGGGAAGTTTTCTGCCATTATTTCTTCAAATAGGTTTTCAATATCTTGCTGTCTCTCATCTTCTGGCACCCCCATAATTTGGATGTTTGTACGCTTGAAGCTGTCCCAGAGGCTCCTTACACTATCTTCGTATTTTCGGATTCTTTTTTCATTTTGCTTTTCTGGTTGGGTGTTTTTTGCTTCTTCGCATTTCAAATCTTTGACTTGATTCTTGCGCTCCTCTGGTCTGCTATTGGGTGTCTGTATAATATTCTTTATTTCAGTCAGTGTATGCTTAATTTCTAGTTGGTTCTTTATCACAGCATCGAGGGTCTCATTAGATTTCGTGAGGCTCTCATCAAGTTTATTGGCAGCTTCTAGCACATTATTGCAAGCCCTCAAAATTGCGTTTTTTAGCTCTATATCCTCCATTTCTGTCATGTTTTTTTGTCTCCGCATTTTTTATGCTTTCTTGGTGCACCCCTTTGTGGTCTTTGTGTGCAGTCTTGTTGTAGTTAAGCCTTGATTGTTGTAGTTAATATTAGAGGGATTTGACCACCAGGCCGACTGGCTGTGAGAATCACCTGTATTTGCAGTGGGAAAACTTCTGTCCTCTGGAGAGGTGCTAATCTAGCCTTTGCCTGAGGCTATCCGGCAAATGGCTCTGCACAGGGCTTGGGCGGGGCGGGTCGCACAGGATCAACAGGGCAGGCGGAGGGAGCAGTTATGGCTGCTCTCAGTCCCATTCCCAGAGGCTCTGCTTCTCAGAACCCCAGCAACCACTGCAAACCTCGGAGAGAAAGCTGCCCTCATGTTCCAACTGATGCCAGACAATCCCGCCTCTCCCGTTTGAGTCTGAGTCCCTAGAGACTCGCCCGGATCTGGAGCTCAGAGTCTGAGACTCCCTCCTGATTGAAAACGACAACTGCGCCCTTAGCCACCAGCCCGCTTTGTGCGCGCACCTTCGCACCTTTGTATTTTCCACACTGCGCCTCCTCTGAGCCTCGGTATGCTGTTCTCTTTCCTTCTAGTTGAAGAGTCTCTCCTCAGCCAGCCTTCCTGTGGTTCTGGGTGATGTCCGTTCCGTCTTTTAGTTGTATTTTTGAAGTGGTTGTTTGCGGCAGCAATCTCCGGTGTTTACCTATGCCGCCATCTTGGTCTCTTCCAAGACATATTCAAAGTGACGAATAGCAAGAACCTACAACCAAGATTACTTTACCCAGCAAAACTATCATTCAGAATTGAAGGTCAGATAAAAAGCTTCACAGATAAGAAAAAGGTAAAGGAGTTCATCACCACCAAACCAGTATTATATGAAATGCTGAAAGGTATCCTTTAAGAAGAGGAAGAAGAAGAAAAAGGTAAAGATACAAATTATGAACAACAAATATGCATCTATCAACAAGTGAATCTAAAAATGAAGTGAATAAATATTCTGATGAACAGAATAAACTGGTGAATATAATAGAATCAGGGGCATAGAAAGGGAGTGGACTGACAATTCTCGGGGGAAAAGGAGTGTGGGGGGTGCAGGAAGAGACTGGAAAAAAATCGTAAACCTATGGATGAGGACAGTGCGGGGGGGGGCGGTAAGGGCAGAGGGGTGGGTGGGAACCAGGTGGAGGGGAGCTATGGGGGGAAAAACGAGGAACAACTGTAATAATCTGAACAATAAAGATTTAATTTAAATATATATATTTAAATATATATTTATATTTAAATATATATATCTTTTTCCTTCATCTGATATCTAGACACTCCAAACAAGGTCTCCATGAATGTGGTAACTAGGCATTCTATGTCTTTTTGCTGCTCATAGCCTGGAACAGAAGACTGTGCCTGCTGCTGATGCCCGATAAATACTGACTTAATAAAGAAAGGAAGGAGGGAACAAGGAAAATCTTGGACTGGTTAGGCCACCATCTTAAACAGACTAGATTCAGTTTGGGGTGCCATGTTGTAAAAGGACATTAATATTTTTATTCCTAAATGTTTTCTGTTTCAGCTTATAAGGAACAGAAAGGCGAGGCAGCAGCTTCAAGCATTACTCATGTGAGTCAACTGCCACCAGGAACTTCTTGTTTTCTAGGTTTGATAAAGTTGGGCTTGATGCTAGTGCAATTTATCATATCTTGTTTACTTTTGCTCCGTTACAAAGGCTGCCAGGCAAAAGCCTTCTAAATCTAAATATTTGCTTTTGTTTTCCATCCAAGGGAACACACAAAGCTATCATGGTGTTTTCTTTTGTTTTTTTAACCTGGGACATTCTGTAGCACCACCTACTACCCGAAATGAGACATACAGATAATTTTGAGACAGTACTCAGTACCCT